CTTCAGGCCGCCTCTTGGCTGCCCTCTTCCCTCGGGGAGAAACGGCCTGTCCTTGCTTTCCTGGCGAGCCTTTAACGCCGCATCCCTCCCTCTTCCTGATCCTGCGTCTGGACCTTTTTGATCACCGGGTGTGTCTCGGAGATCCTCTGACAGTAGCCCCCCCTAAAAAACACCCCCAGGTGTCTCATCAGGTATCTTTGCTGAGGGTGCTTTGCCACTTCCTTACATCCCTAACGCTATCCCTTCTGTTTTTCAGGATCAGAGGAAGTGGTCTTTGGGCAGGTTGGAGGAAGCATCCTCCTTTTGTGCCGAAATGTCTCCAGAGAAGCAACCGAGGTGGTCTGGTTCCAAGGGGATCCCCACGCCTTCCCCCCACTCTTCTCCTCGAGGGTGACCTTCCCCCCGGACGTCCGTTTCTCCCTGGTTGACAACAGCTCCCTGCTCATCACCCAGCTGCGCCTGCAGGACGAGGGCAACTACACCTGCAAGGAAGTGCTGAACAAGACGGACCACGAGCACAGGGTCCAGCTCCTGGTAGGCAGTAAGTCTGTCCTGCCTCTGTGAAGTTCCTCCCCTCGGTCTCGCAGGTCCCCCAGATTCATCTGGCACTGGTGGAAAAAACGTTTTTAAAAAAGGGCAAGGTGGCCTTATTGTGCAAAACCTGTGAGCAGGCTGGTGCTGCTCCACTACACGTTCACTCACAAGCAGCAGGGCATGTGTCTGAGGTCTGTCAAGGATCAGTTTTGTGTGATGCAGAGGACAAAATGCTAACTGTTAAGTCCTCACAATGTGTCTTCAGTTCCTTCTTCCTTGGTGATGATAAACTTGGGTTTGGGGCAGATCTTTCATGGCTTTTTGCTGTTCCAAGGTGGCACTTTGCCTCAGAACCTGGCAGACTTGAACCTTAATAAATCTTAGGGTGGGGACTGTTCCTCACTATTTTTTTCCCTTCGATTGAAATACGTGTCTGAGATAAATGTTCTGTGCCATCCCTTGTTGCTGTCCTTTTGGTGTAGGGATGAAGGGTCTGTGCCAATCTTATAGTGCAGCTTTCAATTGTGATGGTAGCACCACATTCCTCAAAACTTACTGATGGGAGCAGTGTCCTGGGAGTGTCTGTTGTCACAGGCTGTGCTTTCAGCCTTTTTGTCCTGTTGTGCCTTTTGGTGCTCTCTCCCTTTCCCATGATTATTTCATTCTTTCATTCTCTTAGAAATCTTCACAGCCTGGGTGGCAGATTGGGCTGAAAAGCACTCAAGTCAACTGCTTTGCCCACTGCTGGCACAGGTCCTTCCTGCTTCTGGTGGGCAGATTCTGGTTCCCCACCAGAATCTGTCCCCTCACACTTGGGCTGTGACCTGCTGTCCTTCATGCCAGCCAAGCCCATATTACAGGGTTAAGAAGAGGGAAGTACTGCTGCCAGCTTGCCTGAGTGACACTCTGTGCTCTGTTGGCACCTTCCTTTCTTGCTGGTCTTTCCATCAACACCTCTCATGTGTGTTGTTTTCTGTTTGCCTTCTTTCTGTTTGCCTTCAGGGTGTTCCTTCTCAGTGGTGAAGGGTGCCTGGTGTCAAAGTTATACCCGAGATCTGTACACATGAAATCTGTGAAAGTTCACACAAATACTAATTCCCTTCCTGGGGCAAGCAACCTGCAGGTGGGGTTCGGAGTGTCACAGAGGGCTGGAGTGAAGGGATTGAACCCCAAGCTTCTTCAAGGAACATATGTAGGCTTAGGAAGGGGGAGCCCTAAATCTGGAGCACTCGTGCAAAACATGAGCAAAAGATATTGTTAGTGTTCCACGTGTTGGTGCTGCACTCTGAACTTTATTTATTAGCTTGGAATTTATATATCAATCAATTAATTTCCAAAGGTTACAGAGGTGATATTGGGAGATTGGTGTGGCCTTAAATAGGTGAGAGAGAGATATTTCTGCTGGTGCTTTTAGATCAGCAGAAGCAGCATCAGCAAAGTTGAAGCTTCTCATCTTCAGACTAGAAGCAGGCCCCCTGATTTTTCACAGTCAGTTACTGGAGCAACTTAACCTGAGCTGGAGAGAACCTCTACAACACAGGCTTGGCATCACTGTAAAAGAGTCACCCAGGATCTGCAGGCTTCATGTGAGGGTTACCAGTTGAGTCTTCAACCCATCTCATGGGTTGTACCAAGAAAGTTCTCTTTTTGTTTCAAGCTGCTTTTAAAAAACCCTCAAGCAGCAGAGGAAATATTGTAGCAACACAGCAAAGGCACAGCCCTGCCTGGAGCTGCTGCTCTGTGTTTGCTTTGGGTAGGGAGCAGAGTGTGAAGGAAATGCTCAGTTGCACAAATCCAAGGGAATTTTTTTCTGTGTTGGTGTGGAATTTGATATAAGCCACTTTTGGCCCATCGAGGGGCACAAGCTCCTTTTTGCTGATGTTTTGTGAGGGTTTTTGGTGGCAGGGAGTGGGAGCTTTTTAGGTTTGGGGGTTTTTTAACATCTTTGGGAGCAAATCTATTGGCATTTAGACAGAAGAACAGAAATGTATTGGGAGAGCCCAGGAGTTCAGGATGTAAAGCTGATGGCTACCGGAGGCAGGTTAGTGGAACCAGCTCAACAAGTACAGCTCTCTGGCTGGACATCTGCAAAGGTTGTGTCTACCTCTCCACACAGGGCAGTTCCTGGTGAGTCAGGCTGACAGGTTGCTCCTATCAACCACAGCCAGGATTTGGGATCAGAATTCCCCAGAGCTGGGGGAGAGGGAGTGTTGTAGAGAACTTTCTTGCCAGAGCTGGGTGATTTCAAAGATCATACGAGACGTGTGTGTGTAGTTCCTGAAAAGCCAAGCCCCAAGAAGGTATGTTTGTGTGGCTCACGTGGGGTTTTGCCATCAGGTTTTGTTGTGTTTGGTTTTTTTTAAAACTCGTGTCATTTGAAAGCCACAGGAATTAATGCTTTGCAGAATGACCATCAGGCATCCCCCTGACACCTCCTGTGTGGTGTTTCCTTTGGCAGCAGCTGATCTTGTTCAGCACTGGAGTAGCCAGGCCAGCCACAGGTTTCACAGTGTGTTAATTCTGCCTGGTTCAGAGTCCAGAATCCCTGTGGCTATAAAATGTGTGTCTACCTGTGCATGGGTGTGTGAAGCCAGGTGATGGGAGAGAGGCAGGACCTCCTGAGCCCTGCTCTGCCCAAATAAATTGCTCTTGGGTTTCTATTGGCTTCTGACCCGCCCCTGCCATCACATCCTTGTTTCTGTATTTCAATAACAAACATAGTCATGATGGTTACGAAGTGGCCCGGGCACGAGGCCAGTGGTGACTTACCTGTGTTCTCTGCTGTAATTTGTCCCCACAGCTGCAGTGTGGTGTGGACACAGAGTGGTGTGTGGCTCAGGAACACCACAGGGCAGCAACAGTGGTGCTGGGAAGCAGAGCATGCCTGGCTTGGCTGCAGTGGCACATCCCTGTGACCCTGATCTTGCCAGCTGGAGTCACCAAGACTCCCTGTGGGCAGAGCATCTTGTTCTCCAGGAGTAGCCTCCTCCTTCAACAGTGTGCTGGGCTTGGTGGGGAAGTGCTCCAGCTTTGAGCTGGTGGCTCTGAGAAGCTGGTTACTTGTCACTGGGCAAGAGCCCTGATGCTTTGCAAGTTCCCCTGGTAAATCTGAGTGCCTGTACCAAGGAGAAGCAGAGCCTTGTTCTCAAGTCATGTGAATCAGTGTCACCTCCTTGTAGCTGTGGCATGAGGACCAAGGGTGCTGTGGAGATTTTGTTCCCCCTCTGGGTTTTTAGGTGCTTATCTCCATTGGATAAGGCTGTTGCAATACTTTTCTTTCCTCCTTGTCCCTCAAGGCTTGGCTGTGGCTGCTGTGACAGCCCCCTGCTTGGTCCCTCCTGGCTGTCATGCAGAACTGTGCTCCCCTGGGGCTATGGGACACAGATCAAGGAGCAAGATAGGCAGGGAAAACTGGGAAGGTTTTTCAAGAGGAATGGTGGCAAACATGAGCACTTGGGGGGTTTCCAGCCCTGAGATGCTGAGAGCTGTGATCTGGAAGTGTTTCTGACCCTGTGCTCTTACTGATAGACCCACCACAGTCAACCCCAAAGTTCAGGGCTGAGACCTCCTCATCAGGGCTGATGCTGCAGCTGTTTTGCAGCTGGCCTGGGGGGTATCCCCACCCCACTCTGTACTGGAGAGAAGAGGGACATGATCTGGACAACTCAAGCTGGGTCATCAGCTTCATGAGCTCCTGGGACACCCGTGTGGAAACTGAACAGCTCCCACCTCTCACACTGAAAACTGTTCAAGTGTGTGGGGAGCCATGTCAAGCAGGAGGAGCCTGTGTGCATTGTGGAGATGAGTTGACTTGCCTACCTTATTAAAAGGCTCATTAATAGTTAATGGTGAGGCAGACCAGTGCCCCCATCATTCTCTGCCCTCTAGAGCACTAAGGCAGTGGTCAGGCAAGCCAGGCTTGGGTGTGTTTGCCACAGGGGGAGATGCTAACAAGCTAGCATGGCAGGGCTTGGCCTGTGCAGGGCACAAGGCACAGAAGTCCTGCAGCTGAGATCCATCAAGGTGCAGCTGCAGGTGGGTTGTGTTTTGGGTACATCTTCAAGGGCTGACAAATGTCCTTGCACCAAGCACCCAGCTGTGCCTGTGTGAAAGGCAGAGGTGGCTTTAGTGCCTTGCTCAGCTTGAGATTAAGTTTGGCAGAGCTGAGTTTATAGCAGAAGGATGGTCTGTGCTCCCAGGCCCCCTTCGAGCATCTGAGGGCTCTGTATAAAGTGGCTTTTGAAAACCTGAGCTGTATTTATCCTCCGAGGGTCGTCAGGACTACAAAAGAGCTCTCCTGGTCCCAACAGCTCTGCTGTTTTCCTCTCTGCCATCTTCCCACTGGTACCCTCCAGATGTTCTTCCTAGGGGATGTGAAGACAGGTGTCACAGAAAGGACTGAGCAATGTGAGAGTTGCTGGGATTGCTCCTTGCTGAGGTCTGAGGAGTGAGCTGAATGCCAAACCCACAGTGCTCAAGTTCCAGCTGCCTGTCTGACTTCCCTCAGTTAATGATTATTAATCAGTCAGATGGCTGATTGCTTGTTATGTTCAACTCCTCCATTCCCTTCCTGACTCTTTTTTTTTCTTTTTTTTTCTTTTTTTTTCCCCCATCTTGGGCTGTTCAGAAACCCCTTCCCTGGAAACAGAGCCTCCAAAGACATGCTTTGTGGGTGACAATGTGACTCTGACCTGCCGTGTGACCGAGAGCACCCCTGAAGCCAAGCTCACCTGGCTGCGAGGCATCGCCCAGCCCGAGGTGGAGATCCAGCCTGGAGGGAGGTACCTGATCACCCAGGAGAGCAACGTGTCCCAGCTCACCATCCAGAACTGTTCCCAGGGCACTGACGGGGGCTGCTACGTCTGCAAAGCACAGAACCCCCTGGGGCTGAGGGAGCTGTTTGTCTGCCTGACCGTGAAGCGTGAGTGGGGCTGCCCGGGCTCGCTGTGGCAGGGATTGAGCAGGGGACACAGCTCCTAGGGGCCACTGGGGAGCACCCAAGGGGCTCCACTTGCCACTAAGAATCTCTTTGCCTGGTGACACTTCCCATATTCTTGTGGCAAGCAGCAGTGCAGGACTGGCTCCCTTAACTCTGGGTGAAAAAGGCCTGATTCCCTCGCCCCAGCATAATGGGTCTGAGAGAGGAGCAGCCTTGGTCCTTCCTGCAGGTTGTGGGCACAGAGGAGTACCTCCAAGGCTCAAGCTGCTCCAGATGCAACAGGCAGGGGTCCATCTGCTTTGGCTAAATGCACATGGGCACAAAAATAGAGGCCCTGCTGTGGTGATTTCCATGTCAATTAAGTGCCTGAAAGTCTGTCCCAATGGGATGGTGGGAGTGTGGCAATGATGGGAGATGGGAACTGAGACAGCACTGGAACTTGCTCTATTGCTTGTACTGAGATTTCCTCATTTGTCTGTGTTCCAGTGACAAGCTGGCCTCCTGTGTCTCCTCTTCTTTCCACAGAGCCAGTGAACATTGTAGGGGTTGTGGGTGCAGTGGTGGTCCTGTCCCTGCTGGCTGTTCTCACCATCACTGGGCTTGTCTTGTACTACAATCCCCTCCTGTGCCTGAGAGGTAGGAGCTCACCTCTGCACAAGCCAGAAAAGGGTTTACTCCTTCCTGGGGTGGCCTGGTTTCACTTCTAAGCTGATTGTCCTATCTGGTGTGCCGTGACAATCACCCCAGCCCTTAGGCCTTATCCTGTTCCTGGGCAAAACTCTGTCAGCCCTGGAGAAAGATAGGCTGGAAACACAAGGCCCTTCCCCAGCTGAGTGCTTCAGGCACCTTCCCCTCATCTTCTCCAGGGAGCTGTGCCATTATGGGCCTCCTCCCCTTCCCTTGGGACCTTTCTGGTGCCCCAGGGACTGCTCTGGGGCTGATTTCTAACGCTGTCTTTTCCCTTCCCTCCCCTTCAGGTGCTGCATTCAGGTGAGCGTTGATTTTCCTCAGCCCAGTCCTGCATGACCTCCCTCTCTGTGGGGCAGGGAATCCACCTGGGAGGCAGGAGCTGCTCTTACATGGGAGCTGTGCCTCCTGCGGGAAGAGGAGGGTGGTGCTGGGTGAGGCTTGGCATGGGGGCAGGAGGATGAGGGGAGAAGGGAGCCCTTGGCATCAGAGCAGGAGCTGCATTGCTTTGGGATGCACAGGGGCTGGCCAGGCATCTGTTGGTGTAGGAGGAAGCTGGGCAGGAGAGCCTGAAGATTTCAGAGTAACCAGAAATTATGATCTTCTGCCCCTCAGGGTGGGTGTTTGCTTCTGTCCTTCCCCCTCAGGAGGGGTGTCCCATGGCTGTGCATGAACAAGTGCCTTCCCTGGGGTTCAGGTGCACTGTGTTTCTTCTCTGCTTCCTGCTCTTACCCCTCCTGGCCCTGCTTCCTTGCCCTTGGTTCTGTTCCTGCAGCGTGGGAAGGCTCTGTCCTGGGAACCTCCAGTTCCTTGCCTGTGTGGGAGAGGAGAATAACTCCACCTGGGAGGGGCTGATGCAGTTTAGTATGGAACGGTTGGAGGACTTTGGAAGGCAAATGGGAAGCAGTGCAGAATGCTGATAGTGCTGCCAGCAGGGTCTGAAACCAGCTCTTCATTGAACGTGGTTAGTGCAGGATTGGAGAAGTCAAAGCTTGGGCAGGTGCTGGCTGGAGGCAGGAGTTGGGACAGGCTGTCCTCAGCTTTGCAGCCCACCTCTGCTTGCTCTGCTGTTCACAGGAGCCAGGACTCAGATGATGTCTTGGTGCTGGTGGACTCAGAAGATGATGATGAGGGGAAGGAGGAAGAGGAGACCCTGAGCAGCACCAAGCAGGAGGTGATGGCACTGGTCAATGGGAGCAGCATCCAGGCTGCTTACCAGATCTGCCTTACAGGTGAGCCCTGGTGCCTGCCTGCTGACCAAGTTTTGGGACAGGAGCTCATCTGTGGGTCTTCCAGGAGCAGCTCCAGGGAGGGAGGAATTCCTGTTGTCTGGTTTGTTGGCTCTTGCTGAGATGCTGCTGCTCTGTGCCCTGCCTAGGTGACGATGGTGAGCAGCACAGCGGGAAACAGGAAACGAGGGGAGAAGAGATGCAAGGTTCATAGTTTCCATCCCTCCATGGGGAAGCATGTGGAGCTCCAGCTGGATGCCTGGCATCCAGCACATCCTCCTTGCTGTGTGGCTGAGCACAGGCCACTGGTGTCCTGCAGCAGCTGGTTCCATTGGATTGTTCCTTCTCTGCTCAGCCCTTCCCCAGCTCTTACTCCGTCCTTCCCCAGCCGTGTTTTCCTGTTTCCTCTCTCCTCCCTTTGTGGTTCCTCTTGATTTCAGGTGTCTCTTTTAACAAGGTGGCACCCAATGCAGGCAGAGGTGGGTCCCAGTAGCCTGCTCATCTTGTTGCCTGTGATAGACTCAAATGCTGGTGCTGGGGTTATGGGGAGTGGAATGGAGAATGTCACTATGGGGTCGCAGTTGTCCCAGGGTAATGGAGAGCACAACTGGTGCACGGGCAGGACACAGGCCATGCTGACTCTAGGAGGGCTTCATTGTTTTTTTGTTATAAATCTTTTTTCCCCCCCAAGACCATCTGAAATGTTGCTCCATATCTAAAATCTGGAGTTAATGGGTACCTTGTGGTGTGGTTTTGAGGGGATGGATGGCTGAGGTGGAAAGCACAGAGAGAATTTGTACACGGAAGGGATGAGTGTAGCAGGATCTGCAGGAAGGGGGCAGCTGTGGTGGGGAACTGTAGGGTGGGTGACAAGGGGGGCAGAGGGTGCAGGAGGGGATGGAGGGACGGGTCAAATCTGGGCACCCTGCAGGGGTGAATGGGGGGATGGAAAAGGCACAGATGAGCAATGGAGATGAGCAGAGTCTTCAGAGGGGAGCAGGAGGGATCTGAGCTTGCCTGGGAGGAGAGGATCAGTACGTGTGCCTGGGAATGGCCAGACAGAGCAGGATGGGATCAGGGTGTAACAGGTTGGAGCAGCACAGGGCTTTGGGTGTTCTGGAGGGGAACAGGAATATAAACTGTGTGAAGTGGGAGTGAAACAGTGTGTAGAGGGTGATGGAGAAGTGAGTGCATGAGGGATCCGAGTGTGTGTGGAGGGTAAATGGGGGGGTGTGAGCACACACGGGTGGAATGAAGGGGACCTAAGGGCACGTGGAGGGAACAGGAGGCAGTCCTGGGGCATGGAGAGCGTGGTTAGAGATCTGTGAGTGGGACTAACCTGTCCCCAGGGATCCTTAGTGCAGTCCCTGTGCCCAGCACCCCGCCTGCTCGGGCAGTGCTTGTAGGAAAATCCCAGGGCTCTGCGGGAGCCTCCGGCTGCCCCTGGCAACGGTGTTTGTGCTGCTGCCATGGACGCTCCTCTGTGCTGGCCCCTCGGGGAGGAGGAGGAGGCACCCGGCGAGATGTCCTCCCGGCTGGAGGAGCATTTGTGCACGGCTGTGCGGGAGAAGCTGCGGCTGCTGTGAGTGAAGGTCTCCCCGTCCTCCCCGCGGGGAGAGCAAGGGCTGAACCACAGGGCCAGCACGTCCTGTGTCCCTGGGGTTCTGTTGGTTTGTGCTCCCGTTGTCAGGTCCCCAGGGTGTCACTGGGTGGGTGCTGGGTTCCTTGAGGTGCCAAGGTGGGTGTCACTGGGTGGGTGTTGGGTCCCCAGCTGGGGCACCCTGGTAAGGATCCAGGCTCCATCTCTCCCTGCACCTCATCCAGAGATGCCAGGATGCTTGGGTGCCCACATGGGTCCCCCCTTGGAAATGGGGATCTGCAGAGTCTGTTGCCCCGACTGGTGGGCTGGGGGAAGGGAGGGGGATTCCCTGGGATCTAAGCAGAAAGCTGAGGTTGTTCCATGACTTGTCCTTTCCCCGGGGACATTGGGGTGGTGCTGGGGGCCTGAGGTGGAGGAGGCAGGAGGGAGATGGGGTGAGGGGAGAGGCCCCCCATGCTGAGCCTCAGCCAGCAGCAGGGGTCCCTGGGGGTCTCAGCCATGCCATGTTGGTGGGTCCTCTCCCCACCCAGCTGTGATGAGCTCCACAGCACCCACGGCAGGACGGTGCTGGCGTGGGATAGCACTGCCCTGCTGCCCTCCACGCGCTTGCTGCTGAGGAGACGGGAGGTGGCAGAGGTGGAGAAGGCCCTGCAGAAGCAGCGGGAGGTAGGGACAGCCCCCAGCCCCCATGTGCCCTCTTCCGGGGGCTGCAGCATGCCATGGGAGCCAGAGCAGCCAGAGACACATCCCAGGCGATGCTCTCAGCACCCGGCGATCCCGCAGGAATTTCAGCAGAGGATGGAGCACCTGGAGCAGCGCCGGCAGCAGCTGGGACGGAGGAAGGAGGAGCTCCAGGATGTTACCCTCCGATTTGATGCCTTCCTTAAGGTGCCAGGGTGGGTGGTGGGACTGGGCTGGTCCTCAGGGCCCCGCTGACCCTGTCACCACAGGCTAGGGCGGCCAGGCAGGAGCGGGAGCTGCGGCGGGCGGAGGAGGAGCAGGCACGGGTGGCAGGGCAGGAGGCTGAGGCTGCCCGACTGCACCAGGAGCTGCAGGAGCTGCTGCAGCACAGGGAGAACCTGGCCCGGCACCTGCAGAGCCTCTGCCGCTTCAGGGACTGCCTGAGGGATGCGCTGTCCAGCACCGGGCAGGTGAGCATGGAGGTCCTGGTCCTGCATGTCCCCACACCCCTAACGGGGGGTCAGCCCTCTCCAGGGCAGCAGCTCCCCTCTCCCTACAGCCTCTCAGCCCTTTCTTATTGCCCAGTTCCAGGACATGCAGAGCATGCTGGCCCATTTCAGGGTGCTGGTCGGGATGCAGGCAGCCCTGGCACAGCAGGCAGCAGCCAGGCAGGAGCGGGTGGCACAGAGCTGGGCACGGCTGCAGCAGCACCAGCAGGAGGTCAGCAAGGAGCTCCTGCACACCAGCAACCAGCTGGCCCAGCTCCACACACGCCTGGAGGACGCCCGCCGTGATGTGCTCCAGGAGGTAAGGGGGGGGAGATGTGGGGTGCCCCAGGGAGAGGGGCAGCAGTGTGGACTCCAAGCGTGCTGCAGAGGGGAGATGCCCCATGTGGCAATGGTGGGAAGCTGAGCTGGGGGTCCCCATACGCCCAGAAAGCATCACCAGCAACTGTGTATGGGGAAGACATAGCAAGGACTCCTGGGTCCCCCTGTCCCAGCTGGGTGGGGTGCAGGGGACATGGGGCAGTGGCTGCAGCAGGGACCCAGGGCTCTCTGTCACTCTGTCCCTCAGGAGTCCCGCTGGGCCCACATCCAGAGTGTGGCCACCCAGAAGACCCTGCTGCTGGGGCAGATCAAGCTGGCAGTGCTGAACCTCTTCAAGCTTGCCACCACGAGGCTGAAGGTCCCTGTGGATGTGGCCATGGAGGACACCAAGGCCCAGCTGGACATGGTCAGCACAGTCCTCTCCCCTGGGGGTGGTGGGGACACAGGGACATACATGTCCCTGGGTGGCTGTGGCATCAGGCTCCTCGCTCTGCAGGTGCTGCTCTGCATGCAGGACATGGCTGCCATCTGTGCTGAGTCACTCCCCAGGGAGCAGGGGCCATGTCCCCCACACTTGCCTCCAGCCCCCAGCACACCCCCACTGTGCCATGGGGGTGCCAGGCTGCCTCCAATTCAGGAACAGCCCCCAGGAACAACCGCCTGCTCCCGGGGCTGAGCCTGCCTCCCTGGGTACCCTCCTGCAACAGGCACCCCAAGCAGTGGGACTCGGCTGCCACAGAGGAAGGGGGAGCTGCCACTCGTGTCCAGGCTGCTGGTATCTCCAAAAGTGTCTCCAGTCAAAATATAACCCTGCTGTGGACCTGCAGCACCTGTTTGTTTTAGCACTGCGCCTGGGGGTGGGGGGAGGAATTACCCTGTAGCAGGGACAGAGTCAGGTGCAAAACCAGCCAAAATATTTAATGTCTCCTCTCCTGGCGCTGAAGCCGGGGGGGTGGGGAGGTAGGAAGGAAGTCAGGTGGGGCACAGCCCCCTCCCCTAGACCCTCTTCCTCAGCTTGCCCTTCTTGGCGCCCCCCACCCTGCGCCCAAAGGCCATTTGCTGCAGCTGCTGCACCCGCTGCCGGTTCCGTGCCCGCAGGCGCTTCAGCCCCCCGCTCTGCAGGAACCGCTGCTTGGCCGCCTTCTTGCGCTGCTTCAGGATCTGCTGCTTGTTCCTCAGCTCTGAGCGCACCCTGCCCTGGGCGGGGGGCTGTCCCTGCCCTGCTGGGACACACACACACAGCTCACAAGGTGGCAGGGATGTGAAGGTGGGGCTGTGCTGCTCGCCCCGGGTACTCACCGTGTTTGTGCTTCCCTCGGTACTGCTGCCTGCCTCGGGTGTCTTCCTCATCCTCATCCCGCTCATCAACCTTGTATTTCTGCTTCCACTTCTCATAGCTGGGCCAGGGTGGGTTAAGGGAAACGTGTGGGGACCCAAAATCACTTGACCCCCCTCAATCAGTTCACCCATTGTGGGCTCTGAGCAGCCGCCCTTCCTCAGGCCCCTCTGGCAGGGGATGGATCCCCAAGCAGGGCGTGATGCTCCAGGGCTGCTGGTGGGCCCAGCCCTGCACCCCCCCCAGCCCTTGCCATGGCACAGGCTGGATACAGGTTGTTCTTGTAGGAGCTGCTGATGTAGCGCCCGCTCTCCGTTCGCACCTTCTTCTTGTCCTCCTGGCCCGTCTGCCCCACAAACCGCTTCTTCTTGCGGTCCCTGTCAGAGTGGGGAGGGCAGTGGGACCGGGTGGTAGGACCCCCAGCTCCCACTCCCCGCCCCCCAGCCCTTGGCCAGACCCCACTCACCACTTCAGCAGCTGCTTGTTCTTGTTGAGGTTGTGGTTTTCATCGCCCATGAGATCCAGGACAGCTCCAGCTGCCTGTTGCTCGAAGGGGCTGCTGTCACCCACGCTCAGCCTGCAAAGGGTGGGTGGTGAGAGCAGCCCCTGGGGCAGGAGGGCAGGGGGAGCCCCCCTCAGACGTACCCCCTCTCGCTCTCAAAGTCCTTGGGCCGGTAAGGGATGTAGAAGTCCTCATCCTGCTGTGTTGGCTGCTGTGGCTTTTTCCTGGCACCATCTTCTCCCCCTCGGCTCCGCTTTCGCTTCTGGCCCCCCACGTTGGAGAACACGTCCTGGAAGGGGATGGTGGATGGGATGGAAGAGCCACATCCCCCCACCAGTCACTGCACCAGCCCCTGTGCCCTGGCACAGCCCAGGGGCCTGGGCCGAGGCTGCCTTGCAGCAGCTCCAGCATGCCTAGCAAACCCTACCCTGTTACCTGGAGGTCTTCCTCCTCTCCTCCTCCTCCTCCCTCCTGGGGTCTGGGGGGGTCTGGGCGCAGCCCTTTGAGAGCTGCTGCCCGTTTCTCCTGCTGCCCACGCTGGAACTTCTCAATCAGGGCACGGTCGCGGCGCCGCTTGGAGCGCATCACGGAGCTGGCCAGCGTGCGGGAGGTGGCGTTGATCTCAAAGATGGTCTGTGCCAGGGGTGGGAGCCCAGGTGAGCTCATGGCCAGCTGCAGGGACCTTCCTCCCACCCCGGGGACCTCGTGCATGAGGACAGGTCTCAACTCACTGCCTTGGACTTGTAGGTTTTAATGCTGTCCACGAACTTCAGCCTCTCCAGCTCCGTGTCCTCAAAGCGAGCACCTGGGGAAGGCAGACATGGAGAGGGGCACGGATCAGCTCCTTGGTGAGGGGGACAGGGTCCCCTCCACTGGTGTCCTCGAGGCACTCACGGAAGAGTGGGTGGATGCCCAGCTGGGACACATCCAGGTCCTTTGCCCTCTTGATGGACTCGGGTGAGGGGCCGGGCCGGGAGCGCAGGTACTGCTTCTGGGCGTTGTCGGCGACGCGGCGCAGGCTGCTCAGCTCCAGGGAACCCTCGTGGTCCGTCAGCAGCAGGCACTCCTCGTCATCCACCAGGCTCTGGGGGACACGGCCCAGGACCCCGCCAGTATCTGCAGCCCAGGGGGGCACCATGTCACCTCACTGGCAGCACCCACCCTGCAGTCGCTGCAGCCTGGGGCCAAAGGGAGCAGAGCCAACAGCTACAGGAACTTGGTGGTGTTGAACCAGCCACCAGGTTCTTCAGCTGCACCCCAGGAAGGAGAGCACGTCACCCCTCTGCACGAACGCCAACCACCAACTCCAGTCAAGGATAAAAGCCCAGTGGCCACATAGCCACAGTCCCAGCTTGGGGTCTGCTGTACCTGCAGGCAACTCCTGGGCACCAGCGAGGACCAGCGAGTGCCCCAGGAAGAGGTGGAGGTCAAAGACGTAGGGCATCTCATCAGGAGCCACCAGGGAATAGGCAGTGCCACTCCGGCCAGCCCGGGCCACACGACCTGGCAAGGGGAGGAGGAGAGTGGGAAACCAGAGCCAGAGCCAGCCCAGCCTGTCCCCACCCAAGTAGGGACCCACAGGTGTCCCCAAGAGCCCATTGCAGGTGACATTCACCAGGCAGGCATAGCTGGCAAGGGCTGTGGGTCGCTGGGAAAGGAGGCAAAGGGGAACCCACCACATCCCATCCTACAAGGAAGGCACCAGCTCTGTCCCGAAGAGACCCCACAGCTGGGGAATGGAGGACCTTTTAGCTCCCACTTTGTCCCCAGCCCATCTCCTGCTGTCACAACACAGTGACCTGCCCCAGAGATATCACCCCCAACTCAGGAGCATCAGCACCAGCCCAGCAGGATACAGGGATGGGGAAAAACAGGAGACAAGAGACAACCCACACCCACCCTCTCACCCTGAGGGACCCCTAGGTTGTCAGAACCCTGCGGGGGGACAGCAGCACCCACCAACACGATGCAGGAAGAGCTTGGCCTTGGCAGGGAAGCTGTAGTTGATGACATTATCCAGCATGGGGATGTCCAGCCCGCGGGCGGCCACGTCGGTGACCAGCAGCACCGGGCACTTGCCGTTGGAGAACTTGGCAATGTTGATCTTGCGGGCAGTCTGGTCCAGTGAGCTGTAGATGTGGGTGCAGCGGATGCCCTGAGCTGTCAGCAGCTGGGGAGGGGGAAGCAGAGATGGTCAGATGCACCCTCAAGATGGCTGGGCACACACCCATGCGACCATCACCACAGGGTGCCCAACCAGATCCCATCGTGTATGCTGGGATTTCTCCCTCCACTTGGCAAAAAAAAAAAGAGAGGGAAACTCCAGCAGGGATGTGCCCCATAGATGCAGACCCCACGTTTGTCTGGAAAGGAGCCCACCCGCTGCCTCCCCTTGAACAGGGGGACATGCTGGACACCCCCAAAATGCCACCTGCCTCCTTGAGATACTCTGTGTGGTGCTTGGTGGCCACAAAGACGACGGTCTGGTCCTGGGGCTTCACCACACTCCGGAGCAGGTGGAGCAGCACGGCAGGTTTGTCGTCCCCACGCACGTGGAAGAAAGCCAGCTGTGAAGGAGGGCAGAGCTCAGCTCCTCTGTGTCCCCATGCCAGGCACTGCCACCCTGTCCCCTCCTCCTGAGCCTGGAGCCACCACAGGGTGGCTTGCTGGGATGGGGGGGTAAGGGGTGCAAAGCCCATCCCAAGTGCCCCCAGCCCCTCTCACCTTGAGCTGCTCGCTGAGCTTGGACTCCACATCCAGCCGGATCAGCATCGGCTCAGTGAGCCCTGCAGGATGTGGTGACATGTGGGTCACGTGTGGGAGGTGCCACCGGGACCCTCAGCTTGGGGACACCCGCTTGGCCCAGCTCAGTTTCAGCAGACCTGCAGGGTCTCTGTGCCATGTCCCCACCCCCAGGCTCCCCCCCAGCTCCAGCCCCATCTCACCAGCCCGGGCAAACTCCACGAGCAGCTTGGGCAGCGTGGCGGAGAAGAGGACAGTCTGGTGACAGTCTGGGAGCCGGGCGATGATCTCCTGGAGCTGCTCAGCAAAGCCCATCTCAAAGAGCCTGCAGGGGAGGGGACAGGGGACATGGCAGGGCCATTCAGTCCCTCCGTGCCCAGCCCTGCCACCTCCCAGGACACCTCACTCCCCCCTGGGGACACTGGAGTCCCCCCAGGCCCCGCTGACCTGTCGGCCTCGTCGAACACCACGTACTCCACCGTGTGCAGCTTCAGCTTCATCTCCACTGCCACGTGCACCAGGCGCCCGGGGGTGGCAATGATTCTGTGGAGACAGAGCTGGTGACAGGACCAGGTACGGGGGAACAAGTGTCCCCACACCTTCCCATTTGCAGGTCCCAAATGCAACCCAAAGAAGACAACAGAGACCCCTTTGTCCCCCATGGGGAGCACGGGAAGATGCTCCAAGGGAACACGGTCCATTGGGCTGCAGACACCAGTGATGTCCCCAGTGGTGGGTGGCTCTCGGGGGGCCATTTCCCCACCAGGTCCCTTTCCCATGTCCCCACTCACATGTCGGGGTTCTCATGCAGGGCAGCAAACTGGTCCTCCATCCTGCAAGAGGGGGGGAGAGGCTGGGGTGGCACTGGGCATGCAGGCCAGCTCAGCCCCTCGCCAGGCTTTGGAGGGGGAAGAGGGGACCCGTGGGGACATCTTACTTGTCTCCTCCCAAGATCAGGGCTGTCTTCAAGCCTGTGAACTTGCCCAGCTGAGAAAAAAAACCCAAACAACAACTCAGGGGAGGGTGTTAAAAACCAACCCCCTGGGTTGCTCGTTGTCCCCACTTGTCCCCACTTCCCCCCCGTACCTCCTTGGTGAACTTGAGGGTCTGCAGGGCCAGCTCCCGGGTGGGCGAGAGGACGAGGGCCCGCGCGCCGGCCAAACCCTCCGTGCCCAGCCCTGCCACCTCCCAGGACACCTCACTCCCCCCTGGGGACACTGGAGTCCCCCCAGGCCCCGCTGACCTGTCGGCCTCGTCGAACACCACGTACTCCACCGTGTGCAGCTTCAGCTTCATCTCCACTGCCACGTGCACCAGGCGCCCGGGGGTGGCAATGATTCTGTGGAGACAGAGCTGGTGACAGGACCAGGTACGGGGGAACAAGTGTCCCCACACCTTCCCATTTGCAGGTCCCAAATGCAACCCAAAGAAGACAACAGAGACCCCTTTGTCCCCCGTGGGGAGCACGGGAAGATGCTCCAAGGGAACACGGTCCATTGGGCTGCAGACACCAGTGATGTCCCCAGTGGTGGGTGGCTCTCGGGGGGCCATTTCCCCACCAGGTCCCTTTCCCATGTCCCCACTCACATGTCGGGGTTCTCATGCAGGGCAGCAAACTGGTCCTCCATCCTGCAAGAGGGGGGGAGAGGCTGGGGTGGCACTGGGCATGCAGGCCAGCTCAGCCCCTCGCCAGGCTTTGGAGGGGGAAGAGGGGACCCGTGGGGACATCTTACTTGTCTCCTCCCAAGATCAGGGCTGTCTTCAAGCCTGTGAACTTGCCCAGCTGAGAAAAAAACCCCAAACAACAACTCAGGGGAGGGTGTTAAAAACCAACCCCCTGGGTTGCTCGTTGTCCCCACTTGTCCCCACTTCCCCCCCGTACCTCCTTGGTGAACTTGAGGGTCTGCAGGGCCAGCTCCCGGGTGGGCGAGAGGACGAGGGCCCGCGCGCCGGC